CGAACATACAATGAGAGCCACGGATGCCAGAAGAAGTAGAGTTGAATTTGGCGTTTCCTGTGCGACTGTGCCGCTTTTCTAGGATGTTTTTTTTTTTCGCATTCTGATGTTACCCCCTTGTCAGGGTATCTCGTTGTATGACAGTTATACACTAAGCAAATCTTTCCTCCCGTTTCCCAAAGCAATGCCCAAACAGAACCGTGTAAAGCAAGAGGTATTTTTTCCACCACTCCGAAAGAAATAAAGCGAATCCCATCGCTGATCTTGTGCCATTAATTACAACCCGACTACAGCGGAAGGCGAGGATCGAGGAAAGAAGTCGTGAACGTAACAAGCGACCCTGCGGTGGTGGCGAGATGCTGGTCGCTACCGAAGGCTTGGTCGCATGGAGAGGCTTGGTGTGCCGAGTGCAAAAGCCGACTCCAGAGAAGAGAAATCCATAAACCGAGATAGGCAGCCCCGTAAACATTCTTGAGGCAGCGCTAGAGAAATGAACAATCGTAAGGTGCGAGATGACACCCAGGTAAAAGCAGGAACGCCGTAACCCACAATTTCGCTGACATGCTCCTATTAGACCATGGACAAACCAAAGTCTAAAACGTAATACCGGTGATACAAGGAAAGAGTGAAGGAAAACGAAGGAAAAAGAACCAGTGAAATCTATCATGCAAGATGATCGCAAGCCTTGTGCGTTTTCGTGAGATCCGGAGGCGCACCAATATGCTTGCAGATAGCAGAAGGAATAAGGCAATGGCACCTTGAGAGTGTCTGATAGTCTAGACTCGAGGGAATCGAAGTAGCCAGATGTGTCCAGTGATCGGAACTGGGTCGGCTTGGTAGGCCATGGTACTTCGCGAAACAGAAGGTAACTTTTTGAACATAGGAAGTGCTGGAATGGGCAGCCGAATATGTATCCGTGAAGGTGTGGCAAGGCGATGTCGCTTTGATATGCGGCCGGTAGGTGGCGGGCAATTAGACGGCAACAGCCTGTGGGCCATAACCAGGAGCCATGTAGTAAGGCGGGTGCCTCTGCACGCAGTAGGCACATCCGCAGCTGAGACCATGCTGGTTCCATGCAGACGGTGTGTACTGAGTGGAGTAGGCGGGGGGGCCATAATTGGACGGCTGCTGAAGCGCTTGCGCAGGGGCGGGCTGAGACAAGGGTGGGAAACCGAACATGGTGCGACGCGAGTATCCCTCAGCTGGAGCCCAAGTACCCGTTGTGCCGTAGTACTCTGGGGTGGTAGGGCCCGTGGTCGGTGCTGACGCAGGAGAGTGCTCGCTAGCGGACCGCCATGGGTCGTACTGCGAGTAAGTCGGAGGGTTGTATGCAGAGTGTGCCGACTTGGGCGCATAGTCGTACGGTGGAGTGTAGGCCTGTTGCATCGGCAGAGGAGGAAGCGGCTTGTTGGGGTTGAGTGAGCGTCGGTGTACTGATGTGTCGATAGGGCTGAGCTTGTTGCTGCGACCAGAGCGGGCAGCAGCACTGTTCTGGTAGTCCTTCCAGTGCTCTGACCATGATGTCCAACCATGCTGCTCAGATGGATCGCGATGAAGCTTGAACTTGATTGCTACGAGCCACTCTAGCTCCAGCTCATTCAGCTCATGAACCTGAATACCGCTAACCTCGGACCACGAACGGTTGATGAAGGTGTTGTCGTCCAAGAACTTGCTACCAAGAACAAGCGCGATGGTGAGGAGACGGAACAGGTGAGTGTCGGTCTTGGGCTCGTGAGCTAGCATAGGCATCCTGCTGGACAGGTAGTACATGCTGAGCAGGATGGTAGCCGAGGGCAGCCGTGTGGCGCAAAGCACCTGGTGTACCCATTTGCGGAACGACGAGGGCATCATGCGGCCGGGCGTGATGAGTCGTAGGGCTGTCTCGCACACGAAGTCGGTCATGACGTCCATGTCATAGTCCAGCTTTGCAGACACGCCGCCGACAGGCTTCTCTTCCTTGGCGGGCTGACTCATTCGCTGGTTGTACTCGTGCACGCGCTGCTGCTGCATAGCCGCCTCTGCCAACGCGTGGCCGGACTGTGCGCGCATGGGTGGCAGGGTGGTTGCGCCCATGGGATCGTAGAAGGAGCTCGCAGGTGGAAGACTGGGAGGCGCACTGCTGAGGTAGGTGCCGGCCTGCGGGTACATGGGAGGCATGGCGATGGCCAGTTGGCCGTAGCGGTCTGCGAAGTCGTAACCATCATCTTGCTGCCGGATCGCGGGGCCAGCGTACGCGGGCTGCTGCGGTGGGTATGACGCGCCACAGGCAGAGTGGTAGCTGGGGACGAACTCCTGGGGAGATAGCCGTGGCATGTTATGCCGGGGGTAGAAGGAGGGCATGATGGTGTGGGACTGCCGCAGAGAGAAGACTGGCGAGGCTCCTGGCGTCGTGTTAGTGAGTGCTGGCGTGACGGGCGTGGCCAGCGGCTTGGGGCTTGTGACGTACAGTCTTCTCGTTCGCGCCGCCTCTAGAATTGCCTACGGACCCTCTAGAAAGATGTGCTCATTCAAGGAAATGCGACGTCCGGGAGGTGTTTGTGGGTGGTGGAAATGGGTCGCGCTGGTGGTTGCGCGGAGGCGGTGGGTGGCCGGAGAAGTGCCTGGAAGGGAGGCAAAGGGCGCGGCGAGAGGTGAAGGGCAGCTCGAGTGTGATGGAGCGCAGGCAGACCGGGGCTAAGTCAATAGATCCGGCGATGCGAGGTCGTGGTGGGAGATGTCGCGGAGAGTCGAGGTCCCTGGGGATGGGCGGCAAAAGAAAACAGGTTGAAACCAAGGACTATTACACAGTACAAGCCCAAACCAAAGCCGAAGAAAGCACTCGCAGCGTGTGGACAGCGGCGGAGGGGACGAGGCGTTGGGTGTCGGAGCCAGACGGACACGTCTACCCGTGAGTGCAGGTGTGCTCGTTTGCAAGCCCGCGAGACAGAGCAAGCGTCGGGAGGTGCTGGTGAGCGGGCTGGGGATGCCGGACAGCCGAGATTGGGGGCGCACGTCCGTTGGGGCTTGGGGACTGTGTCGCGACGAGCAACGCCTGCGACGACGACAGGACGAGGGAGATGGGGAGACGGGGCACGGGGGAGAGTGAGGATGGGGAGGGCAGAGGGCGGTGATGTGGGTGTATTCGACACACACCGTTAGCGAAGGCCTAGCAGCAGCAGCAGCGAAGGGGCTCTGGGACGCCCGCAAGACCGTCGCCATCCGAAGGCCGCACCTGCAAGAATGGTTCATTACTTGCCCGCTCCTCCACTCATGTGCTATGAAAACTCTGCCTCTTGCAGTTAGTGGGTCGCAGCGTCGACTCCAGCCCGCGTCTTGCGGTGACTGGCACTCATGACTCTCGCCGCAGGAGCGCTGCAGTCGTGGTGCAGCGCTGCACAACTCCACCGCGCCCGGCCAATGAACGCTGCCAGGGACACCCTCTGCACCCGCGACAGAAGCCAGCCACGTATCGCCCTCTTCTTTTGGCGCGCCTGCAGTAGCGGCCTCACTGGTCCGCTGCGCCGTGGTGAGCACCTGTCATCTGAGCTGCTTGGGTTGTGAACAGTGCTCGAGTGCCTGAATTGTGAAGACAGGAGTCAATTTGCACTGGGCGACGCGCAGCCCCGTGCCAGTCTGCGTTTTGTTTTGATGGCTGCTCTCGTGTCGTGGCCGTGGCAATACGCCGGGCCCAAGAATAGCACTGCCATCGCGCACTTCACCACCGACTCGGACCCGTTCGCAGTGCAAAATTGTGCCGCGGCCGTTGAGCGCTCCTGCGACGCCTGGCCTTGTCCGTCGGGCGGGGCCACGTCCTACCATGGGCAAGACGGAGGGTGTCGCGATCAGCGCGACTTATGCAAATCGATCCCGAATCTGATGCCCATGGTAGCGTGGCAGTGACAACGTCGGCGGCGAAACCGGACTGCCTGGTGCCTGTAGGCGAGCGTCATCAACGTCCTCGTCGCCAAATTGCTGCTCGTGCAATCGTCACTGGCAACCCAAGCGCTCGGCGCCCCCCTCTGGGCTCGGTGCAATATCGTAAGCAGGTGCCCACTGTATGCACTGGGATGCATGTGAGGATGTTCGAGCCTTCGAGGCCGGCACCTGCTCCACTCACACCGTCCAACATATTTCTTGCCCACGTCCTTGGCCGCGGATTGGCCCCTCGAGCTCATCAATACCCATAGTGACGCTTGCAGCCCTTACCGTGATTTTCCATCAGGCACCAGAAACATCGTGTTGGTCATGCAGCTGACTTCACCATCCCGCGTAGGAGGCAATATTTGTCTCGTGTGGAGTCGAACGCTACGTCGTCCACAACGATATTCACGGCACTTGAGTTTACGTCAGGGATGCGGTGAGGGCGAACACTATGGGCTGGAGAAGGAATAAATAAGTGCCGGCAAGGAGATGCACGCGGTACTGGATTGGCAAGCGATGTTGCTAAGATAACTTCAAATCAAAGTGGCTTAGCGCAGGAGTAGCACGTGACCGAGTGTGAGGATACCTAGGTAGCCAGGCATCGTGAGATGGCTGAGGCGGTAGTGAGATATTTCCTCTCTACCCATTTCAAACGTCTGAGCCTGTGGTACCTTCCAGACCGGCCATGAAAAGCAATTACTGCGAATATCCTGCGCATTTCAAAGGTACCCAAGGCTCCTGCTTGGAAGATTGATCGCACGCGCGTTTTCGGCTCACACAGTGCCCAACGCGTTCGTGGTGCGCTGGCAATACATGCCGCTAATCTGCATCGCATGACACTGGCAAATACACGACGACAGCAATGTCCTTGCCGAAGGAGCACGAGATTCTGATGGCCAAGTTGTATGAGGCGAACACAGCGCAACAGTTCAAATTCCTTCAGATTGCATGCGTTTTGCACGTAGACTCGTCAAGTGACCGTGATACATAAAGGTCAGAGGTCCCAAACGCCGATGTAAATGCTCACTCCCGTGGTATATCCCAAAGCTTTTCACGCCCAAACCAGAGACGAAACCCAAAAAATATTGACCTCGCGTGGTCTAATTCATCTGCCTGATCAATTCGTTGATCTTGTCTTCCCGGTTGCCCAAGTCACCACCTTCGATGAAGTGCTTGAACTTCCTCTTGCGGAAGCCACCAGTAGGGCTGTTAAGCTTGAACGGCCAGAGGAAGTTCGAAGCAGCCTTAAAGTTCGGCCCAACGGTGCAGATCTCATGGATGAGGTCTTCCATACAGATCATGCCGTATTTGCCAAGGTTCTCTTCAATAATCTCGTTGTCCGTCAGAGGAAGGCGTTGCTTGTCGACCTTGCCATAGCCACGCTCTGTATCCCAGTTAATATCTGGCAGTAAACTTGCATCTGTACCGAACTTACTGTAGATGAGCTCACGAACCGACTTCTGGTTCGGGTAGCCATAAGCAACGAAGGGCTCAACAATCTTCAGCATCTCCATAGTCGCCTTGGTAAGCTTGACGAAGACGCCATTGTTGATCTGAAGTAACCGCAGAAGCTGCAGCGTCTTGCGCTTCTTGGGATCAATCTTGTTGATACCCTTTATCCGGACGACGAAGGCGAGTTTGGGCTCGGCGGGGACGTATAGGCTATCGCTCTTCTTGGCCTCGCGCGACAAGCGCACGCGCTCCCGCTCGGCATCGCGGTACTCCTTCACATACTTCTCGGCTCTCGTGAAGATGACCTCGCGCTTCTTCTTGCTCTTGTCTGTGTCATGTCAGCGCTGTCTGCAACAGTGTGTCATGCCATGAGCTCCAGTGAGGACGATTGCATCATTCCCGAAAGATGGTTAACAATTCGACAACATTGACCGTAGTCTAGCCGATAGTGTGGTAGTTATAATCATCGTAATCGCCCTCATGGATCGTCGAAAGCATGCTGGGGTTGGTCGTACCTCGCTTCTCGCGTGTTGCGATCGCGCGCTCCTCACGAGCCTTCTCCTGAGACTTCCTCTTCTTGAGGAGGTTCTCAGGCACGAGAGTGATCTCACTCTGTGTGGGAACAGTTCTATTGGGTAAGGATTAGCTTTGGAAACTGCGCGTGGTGTAGGGACAACGTACGACTTCGACGACATGTTGAAGTGGTGTTCGAGGAATTCTTCGGAAGCTCAATTTTTGCCAGACTCTTAGCGTTAGCGCTAGCCGCTATCCCGCAAGCGCGGGCGCCAAGATGCTGCGCCCCACAAAAACAGATGCAGCCGCGACCGAGGTCAAGGGAACATGAGCGCTCCAACGGCTTCGCATTATATCCGCTGTACACCTTGTTTACGTCGCTGAGCATATACGGTAGAGTCTGTACTCCGTCGTATCCCATTCTACATCATACCTCTAAATAGGATGCATTTGGCAACCTTTTCTCGAGTTGCGTCCACCCGTGGACGTACGAGCTTCTGATGTCCACGGGTCTTTATGCCTTTATTTGCAACAGAGTCCCCTGTTACTGATGCTGCTTTTCCTCCCTGTCATCGCTTTTATGGTCATCTCACATACTTTTTGACGGCCAACAAGAGCAATCTCGATGACAGCCACGCTTTGAGAATGCCTTTCCGCCATTGGTCTTCAAACCGATCTCAATGAAGCCCGGCAAAGGAGCGCCTTGCTCACCACGGGCAGCAGCAAAATTCCTTCGGTTTTTCTCCGAAGAAGATTACGATATTGCCGCCATCTCATGTCGATTTACATGAGCGTTTGGAGCGATTTCGGCACCCGAGGTATACTCAGTCACCACTGACAAATTCCTCCCAGGCCGCTGCTCCTCTAGTACGACATTGTGCATAGAAAGGGCTCCTCACATCAAGGTCATCTATTCAACCTTTGTTGCGCGAAAATTCACAATGTCACACAGCCGAGCGTGTCCCTACTCATAAACGCTTGATGTCAGCCTGGTTTACTACTACTCTACCAGGCCACAAACTTCCACATCAACTTCGCCCTCGCGCGGAACGACATCTATATTGTAACCACTGTAGTCATGACTGAACCTATTCCGATTCGACAAGACCCCTATGCCTTAGCTTACCGGTATCGTGAGTATATGAAAGAGAAGCCCCGGGGTCCCGCGGAGCGCAGTAACCCATACTACGAGAGGCTGCTCGCGAATTTACCTGATCCTGACATCAGTGCTATGGATAACCGCTCACGCGCCATTCGGTACGCAAAGAAACATTATGAATGCTATTATGAGATCAGGGATATATGGCGCATCATACGATGGCTGCCACCAGCCGACGAGGAAGATTCTAGCTAGGCGGTAGTAGGTGAGTTCATGGGAACTGGCAACAATCACTATGATGGTTTCTCTTGTTTTGTATTGCTCTATCCCAGGAGTTGATGTCAAAGTTTGATCCTGATGGTTATGCTACTACCACCTAACTAAGTTTGCTCGTTGTTATTGGACTTAGGATACATCCTAAAATGCCCGCCGTTCCTATAAGATTCTCAATCAAGTATACCGGCATATGATGCATCTTAAAAAATAAGCGTCTGCTTGTAGAAGGACCGCGCCAACATACTAAGCTACTTTGATCATGTCCCGTAATGTAGAGACAAGTGCACAAAACTCTTCTTCATGAATCGACATCATTGATCCTCTCCGTTCGACGTACACCACTGGTGGGTTTCCCAATACAAAATCCCCAACTGACACCATCGTCTACGGAAATTGCACTCTTTTGCCAACTCCCGAATGGCCGCCTTACATGCCTCACATAAAGCATCCCCGTCGCACCTTCCTGATTAGTCCCTTCGCTGTCGTTCGATATCTACACCACGGCACAAGACACCCGCGAACCTGGTCTAGACCTACTCTGAACCCTCAGATCGTTCGTTTCACAAATGACCAGATTCGCTTTGCGCCACAGGAAGCGCTGTGCCGTTTCGTTTCACTACACCCCAGGTCCCACTTGTTTCACACAGTACCATGTTCTGCTGGCCTTAACCGTAACGCTATACCGTATTGCATCTTGGAAAAACTTGCTGATGTATACTGTTGCAGGTCTTCTTTTCGTGGTGCCGGAGAAGAAGGCCCGATAAGTGTTTCTGACATGCTATAGTTGGGCACAGTTAAGAAACAGAGCGGTGCACAATGATACGTTCAGTCAAGTGGCAAGTACGATGACGAGTGTCTTTTGTGGAATTGCTATCGTCGAATAGTAGAATACTTGTACATTTAGAGGGATATCGTTAACGCATGATAAGACTCCTGGAACGCCATGCTGATGAAACGCCGATTATGAGGCATGAAAACGCCACGCCGTAAGTGTGGATAATGATGATGACGAAGTTTGAAGAGCCCGTGTAGGTGAGTATCGTGGTGCGAATGTCATGGGCAAATACCAAGGTTCGCCACGCTGCCGTACCCCGATGACCCGAGTCCGCTGTCTCTAGGCCCACCTTCTCTATGGTAGGAAATGTGAATAGTGGCCTGGAACCCGCTGTCTGCACTTCTCGCAGTCTTCCCGGTAACCCATACTGAAACGTCCCATACCGGTCAAAGCACCGCTTCGTTTCCTTCCGCGAGGCGTCGAAGGTGGGGCCAAGGTGGAGGATGACTCGGTATCCATCTGATCGGCCGTACTGGTGTGCGAAAAACTAAGTCGCGATAGTTGTGACTGGGTGAAAGCGGTTGGCGTATCTGGAATGTCATCGTCCTCGGATATGGGTGAAGGCATGCGTCTAGTCCGATCTTCGTCTACATCCTGCCTCTGTCCCTTCCAGGCTGGTGGAGGTGCCTGCATTGACGGTACATTCGAGTTGTTCATAGCTATGCCACCGGCTGATCCGCTCATCGGATAACCCAATCCGCTCATCCCCCCTCTCTTAAAAGTCGGGTGTATGGGTGTGGGTATCCGACTATTGTTGTTGACGGCGTCTGAGTTGAATAGCGATGGTTGGAGCATGGGCGGTCGCATGAAGTTGCTGCCAAACGAGTTGAAGGCGGGCGACTCTGGCGGCTGGCTCCGAACATCCATGTCATCGTCGTCCATATCCATATCCATGTCCATGCCACTTGATTCTCTTGATATACAGACAGGTCCACCGTATATCGAATCCGGCGAATTCGCTCCTCCATATTCTGAATGTGCCGGTGTCATAGACCGGATGTCCGTAAAGAGTCTTGGTGGGGTCGACAGCGATTGATGTTGGAACTGGTCAAGGTTGGTCGGCTCGTTGCTGCCCGGTCGGGATTTCTGTACCGCCATTAGCCAAAGCCCGGCACACGATATTGCCGACATACCTTGAGGTACCTTTCCTCGTCGAAATCCGAGTCTGAATCGTCGTCGCGCCCTCGCTTCCTGGCCATGAAGTGAAATGCAGACATGGTGATGTAGACTAAACGAGTGGTCCTTCCTTACGTCGGCGCAACGCGATCAACGCGTCGGTGGAATGGTAACGAGATGATTGTGGTGGTGCAGTGAGGGTCGAGAGGGGTGCGGCTGAGGAAGCGGGACTGCGATCGAGAGACCTGGTCGGTATGTTTGACGCAAGCCGGGCGGGGGGTTGATATGACTATCAGGGGCGCTGTTTCAGGTCGCATGAAAAGAACCAAGGCTTGGATGGTGGAGTCGCGCGCCTCAAGCGACTGTGGGGGGAACTTGCGACTTGGTTGCCGGGAGTTGGAGGCCCGTCCAGATCCAGCCCGAGGTGTCGCTTGCCGGCGGTGCGTGCGAGAGATAGTCGCGATGATGTCGACGCTGGTGTGGCTTAGCGTGGCGGAGTGGTGATTGGCAACTGAAGCCAAACCTTGAACTCGCCGAAACCGAGGCAGGTACGGCATCACGTGGGCTGTGTATCTGCATGTCCCAAGGGGAAGGGGAGGAGCATGCGTTCACTTGTCATGGCGGGATGTGGCAGGAGGCGTGTGTGTGTAGCCACCTGGACATGTCGCAAGCTGAATGCAGGCCTCTAGGGGTCGGAGAGATGCTGTTGGAAGGGATACGGGCTGAGTGAGCCGTTGCTGCAGCTTTGGTCAGACAGTGCCGCCAACGCTTCCATCCAGCCTGCCAGCTGCCACCTCATACCAGAATTCAAAACCAGGCCGATCTGCAGACTACACCAAGAGGAAAAGGTCATGTTCACGCCGTCGTCGAGCTCCAGCAGCAACATACACGTACATTGACCAACAGGAAGAGGGCGATTCCCAATTCCAGGGTAACGAGCTTGGCGCACATGCAGCTGCAAAGCTCCGTCGACGGTGTATCGATAGCCTGCGGGACCAGAACCAACCATCAGCCCCACCCCGACCTAAAGTTTCCCAAATAATTTGGTGGCATATGACTGTATTTGCAACGCCCTCATTATACCCTTTGCCTGTTATTCTCGCCGACCTCGGACCTGCGCCTGCATACACCATCTGCGCGCTTGATTTTCTGACTTGAGACATTCAACGCCCCTCCTTGCACTCTATTGCACGCCCTGTACAACCTCGCTGCTGCACATCCGCATACGTCTGTGCCACAGTCCAAGTAAGACTGACCGCAAATCGACAGTCGCTTAGACAGCCTACTAATATACATAAAGATAGCCTACCCACTGTACAATGGCTCCCGCTGCAACAGAAACACCCGACATGTCCATCAACCCGAGCGACGATGTGCGCGTACTTGGCTACGACCCGCTGATCCCACCCCAACTTCTCGCGTCCGAGATCCCCATCCCCGCACATGCCGAAAAGACCGTCATTCAAGGTCGCAAGGAAGCCGCCAGCATCATTACCCAGAAAGATGACCGCCTCCTCGTCATGGTCGGGCCCTGCTCACTCCACGACCCGGAGCTGGCACTCGAGTACTGCCAGCGCCTCAAGGCCCTCGCCGACAAGCTTCAAGACAACCTCTGCATCATCATGCGCGCCTACCTCGAGAAACCACGCACAACCGTCGGCTGGAAGGGCCTGATCAACGACCCAGACATTGACGAGAGCTACAAAATCAACAAGGGCCTGAGAGTGTCGCGCAAGTTGTTCGTGGACCTCACATCCGCGGGCATGCCCATTGCCTCCGAGATGCTCGACACTATCTCTCCACAGTTCCTCGCCGACCTTATCTCTCTTGGTGCTATTGGTGCGCGAACAACCGAGTCACAATTGCACCGTGAGCTAGCCTCTGGTCTCTCTTTCCCTATTGGATTCAAGAACGGCACCGATGGAGGCTTGACTGTGGCGGTAGATGCGATTGGTGCTGCTGCTGCCAAGCACCACTTCATGGGCGTAACGAAGCAAGGTCTGGCTGCTATCACCAGGACGGCAGGTAACGAGCACTGCTTTGTCATTCTCCGTGGTGGATCCAAGGGTACCAACTACGACAAGGACAGCATCAAGGCTGCCAGGGAGGCTTTGAAGAAGAAGAACCTGCCCGAGGTCATGATGGTCGACTGCTCACACGGTACGTTCCTGTATACAAGAATGCTCTACCAACACACACTAATATCTGATAGGCAACTCCAACAAGAACCACCGCAACCAGCCCCTCGTAGCTAAGGACATTGCCGACCAGATCCGCAACGGTGAGACCGGCATTGTTGGTGTCATGATCGAATCCAACATCAACGAGGGCAACCAGAAGGTCCCACCTGAGGGACCTAGCGGTCTGAAGAAGGGTGTCTCCATCACAGATGCTTGCATCGACTGGGACAGCACCGTCGACACTCTCGAGAACCTTGCATCTGCCGTCGCCGAGAGGCGGGCAAACCAGAGCAAGTCCAACGGTGCACACTAAACGCATCTGTCGAGTGCAGTGTTCGGGTTAGATTATGTATATAGTATGGGGTATTTGGCGTTGGCAAAAGTCTAGAGAGTTTGGGATATGGATGAGACGATAGGGACTGACTTATGATCGATGAACGAGATACATGATTGAACCAATCAAAATTCTTGGCTTCAACTCCAAATCACAAAACATCCAACGCCTGAATGCCCACGGGTATCTTCGTTCTGACGTTCCTGGCTCTTATCACGTGCTCTCACTCATCTTCTTCCTCGTCCACCACTTCCTGCTGCTGCGTGCTGCGCCGATTACCGCCAGTGCTCGTCCTTGCTCCCGTCCAAGCCGCCCTTTCTCCTACAAACACGTCTCCCGTACATTCCGTCTGACACTTGGGACACTTCCTACGATCCCCGCTCCTGCCTCGATAGTAGCTATTAGCACACGCATCGTGCCACCGAACCCCACACTCTTTGTTGTTGCACCTTATGCCAAACGTAACAATCTCCTTACATCCCTCACAATCCCGGATCCTGATAATCTCCCGCCCATCCTCGTTTTCTTCGGCAGACTCATTGTACGTTTCCTTGAGGTAAGCGCGGAGTTCCATGAGCGCGCGTGGAGCCAGGGAATAGTAACCCGCTTTGGACTTTTGGAAGAAGGCTTGCGAGACGAGTGTTTCCAGGACCTGATCTGCCTCGGCTATCGTTATTCCCGTATCAGCGCTGGCCTGGGTGTCGTCTGCATCGCCGTTGATCTGGCTCTGTCTGCTGTTTGCCTGACTCTGTCTGTTCCGGCGTGAGGTGCGAGCAAGCTGTGAGGCTTCTGTATGCTTCACCGCCATGACTTCGCGGATGTTGGTGTTGTTTGTCTCAAACATTTGGTCGAGGACGCGTCTGATGTATGCGATTTCGTTTGCGGAGAAGGTGGTAGCGAATTGGGTGACGGTGTCGCTTGCGTTGTTAACGAGGGCGTATATGCTTTCTTTGGTTTGTTGATCGCGTGTTGATCGGATCTCGTAGTCGAAGGCTTCGATTTTGGCGTTTATGGTTTGTATGGTGGACGTGATGTTTGGCTGGGTTACGTCGCCTGCTGTCCATGGGCGCTCGGGGTCTGTCGGTGTCGTCAGCTTGTGCGATGGCAATGGCGTAAAGGAAACGGACTGTGTGCAGTCATCACATGGGCAAGGATAGACTTTATTTCGTCTACTGTGAGGACGCTGTGCGTATGGAACGCCTGTAAGAATGCGCGATGGATCCCGTTGTAACCTTCTTCTTCGGCCGGGGCGCGCACGAAGGGCGATTCTTCGCGAGACATGTTGCGTGAGAAGGATGTTGGATAACTTTGAGTGAGATGTAAAGACGCGTAATTTGACTGCGCGACAGCAGTTTGGTAAGTGCGGCAACGGATCACTTACGCGATCGCGGGGAACCTGAAAACGCGTCAACGCGAAACCACGTGAAGGTGTTCCATGCCATCTACCCGACCTGCGTCTCGGAGCATTTTCCAAGCCACCATTATACAACAGCATTTTGATGGGACAAGCTACACTTGCAATGTATGCAGTCACTATAGATCCACTGTCTTCACATACGGATGTGTTCTGGAATCATGCCTCGGGCACCTAGTGATTCGTAGAAGATACAAAGACAAGCGCTCCGTGAGCCATCTGGTCACTGTGTTTGCCATCCTTCCATTCATGCTCATTCAAACTCGTGTATCTAGCAACTCCCGGCCGCCACCTGTGCAACTGCGTATAATACAATATCCTAACATTCCCAACCATAGCTCGTCAAACTCGTAGCCCTAATACTGTCCTTCCCATCTCATACAGGCAGATCAGCATTTCGCCTCGCACCGCTTATCGCTTCCAGTGCCTTGGCAATATATGGCCCAATCACCGGTACATTGCTGACGAAGCCCGCAATGGTCATGAGAAAGTCCCCAAACAGCACAAGTATGCCGTACAGTTCGATTATAAAACCGATGAAAGCCCAGCGCATCAGGATAAGCGATATACCAGCGACAAATGCCACTGTGCCTTTCCATTTCTGCTTGCGTGCGAAGAAGGCGACGGTTTTCGTTGTTCCGATGATGAGTGTGAGACCAATCAGAAAGAGTATCTATTGGGGGTATTAGGGAGGGTTCGATAGCGGAGGACTTGGTTCGAGGAGGTCGAAGACGTACGTTTCCCATTGCCAGCCTGTTCGCATGTCAGTAAAGGCTGTACGTATATGCAGAGTTGAAACGTACATTGCGCGATCAAAAAACATCATGACACCTCCCATCAGAAAGAGTCCGCCTGTTCATGCTGTCAATCTTCTGCTGAGTAGTGGGCGCATTCGTGGTGGTGGGCGCGTACCTACCCCCTGAACAGAAGGCGACCCCAATCTCTGTCATTGCTGTTAGCTCATGTCCTATGCGGTGACTGAGGCTGCATGTTTGCGTAACTTACTCTGGGTGTCTGAAAGCCACATAGTCGGCATCTTGGTATTTTGTTGTTTGTACAGTGCGCGGCGTGCGAAATTCCGTAGCGATGTGGAAGAAGACGGCGTAGGAGAGGAGAAGTAGTAGAGTGGCGCCTAGTCTCGATGTATATCTGGCATGAAGGTGCTACCTTTCGTCTTGCTGTCTCGTGTCCCCTTGCGAGTGAAGACGCGGCGCGCTCAATCGACGGTCGGCCCGAAGCTCACCCCTGCTAGCGCTGCAGTTCCCGCGGGTAATCGCATAAAACTCTGGTGGCATGCTCCTCAACCTCTACACCTCTCGAGTCCATCTAACGCAAGAGCAGCTAGACAAGGCTCTGATATTCATCAGGGAAGAGCAATCGATTTATTGTTCGCTTGTAGTTACAAGACACTCGAATTATCATTACAACATAGATCCCGCCCTGACAACGGCATGCTTCAAGCTGCTGTAACTAGGAATCCTCCCTCGAGGCCCTGGTATCCTGTCTTATGGGCGCAGAAGAATACTGGATCACGGTTAAGCCGGAGCACCTCCTTGAGCCACAAGCCGAAAGGCATGTGGTGGGTGGAGAGTAGTTTGACTTTGATGATCATACATAAACCTTGAATAAGACCCTATCTGAGCAGTGTTCCTCGCCCGGCTCAGAGGCATGTTGTTAGCTTACTTGGTCTCGCTCATATCCACGAATGGACGAGTAGTCGTGTATTCTTGATGAGTTGAGCGATGCGCCACCCGTGCAAGACGCATGCCGATGAGTCGACTTTGGAGCAGCAATAGCTACGCCAGCACCGAGACATGCTCACTTCAAGACTGTGTGTGCACCTCTGGCGGCGAGATAAGCCTCGGATACATTCTGCGGCATGGTCCGAATGCCTCCAAAGACCTCCTTGTTGTGATAGCGTAGACGCGTCTTGGGGTCGGTGTATGGCGCAGGAAGGCCGGTGATGTCGCAGTACTTCTTTTGACTGCTCGGGTGGAAGCTCGGGGCTGACTCGATGTTGGTGTATGTAGGCGCCGGCCCGGCAGCAGCCCTGCCGTTCTTCTCCAGCACCAGCGTGCTCAGGCTCTGTGCTGCTTGGGCGATGTTGGGTTGGCGGCCTGCGTTGCCTTCAGTGGCCACAGCAGGTGTTGAGTTGCCACTGTTGTTCTGCGTGGCCATTACTGAGGCTTCTTTGCGCGATGCCTCACCGAGAATCTGCTTGAGGTTCTTGTTGCGGCGTTGTGGAGGCTTCCAGTTGGGGTTGCGGAAAGGCTTGGGTACCGCGTAGACGTCAAGCTTGTCCAGGAGCGCTTGATGCGTCTTGTCGTCAGAGGCCGCTGTTAGGGGTGCCATATTGTGGAACGAGGTTCCGATGGGATGTGTCTAGGTGTCGTGATGCTCGGGTGTACGTTGTGGCAAGAACGTTTGGGGGCGTAGAAGAGTCTCGGTGTTTGTATCGCGATGGAGCTTGCGGAGGTGGAGCTCTTCCAAGGTTCCGTCTCGGGACCTGCATGTGCATCCTCTGCACTAACTGCTTTCATCCTCCCCACCAAACAGCTCCAACGCGTACTATCAACTGCAACACTATCGAGTCGCCAGAATGGTAGGACGGCATGAGAAATCTATTGCAACCGGCGCGTAGTTCTGACCGCGTTTCTAGGAAAGCCCTCACGAGCACCAACAGAGCCAGTTGCTCTCTCGCATCATTGTGAACGTCGTGAGTCAATCCAACATCTCGATGCACAACGGAAACAATGCTGACTACCGGAAAGGAGAAGCTGAACGAGGCCGTCATGATGTTGAACAAGAATCTGCAAGAGATCAACATCCAAAACATGGATACGGAGCTTGTGGCTCAGATGTTCAAGAACTACCAATCTAACGTTCTTTTCCACCTGGAAGGTATCTACAAAGTCATGCTGGGATGCTTTTGTAATACCGCTAACGAGCCATAGCAACAAATGGTCTGAAGGATCCTGCTTAAGCATGCAAGATGAGATATACTTGGTGTGAAGGGGACAATACCCAAGGCAAGGCCAAGTCTGGTGAGAAATTCGATTACAGGACGTGGGGACAGCAAACAGGCCAGTAGATAGCAGTAATGAGATATGATCATGTTAGCACTATGTGCAAGACTGCAATCCAGACCGTCGGCATGTGAAGTAGCGTACCTAACATACGGAGACGGGCTCGGACCACCGAGCATTGCAAGAGCCTCACCACACCGCAGTCGCCATGCCGCGCATCCTCAGCACCCATCGCGCTAGCCAGGCACACACGCCACATCTCCGACCCGCGACATGAGATAACACCCTGATCTTGGACCTGTCGCATCCCCATCTCCAGCTCCCACTTCACCACCATGGCTCCCTCGGCCATCGACGAGGCGCCGCAACTCGCAGGGCGCAATCCACCCAAACCTCCACCCAAGCTCTGGAGCGTGTCGGAACCGCCTTTTGAGGGCTTCCGGCCCATCGACAAGGAAGGCTGGTCGCGTAGCAACAGCGAAACCGCCATAGTCATCGACAATGGTATGTACAGGCTGCGCATGCGCCAAAGCTGCCAT